TTGCAAGGAAACCATAGTAGGTTTGAGCTCAGATATCCCCAAAGATTTATACACAGACAAGGACATCAAATTTATACTTGCCCCAAGGTCACACAAAGTCTTTCCAACATTTGTGTTACCAATGGAAATAGGAATATTAAAACTCCTTGGATCATGATGCTTAGGAGGAAACTTCTTTTGTATTATCGCACTACACTCCTCAGTGAGTGTTACCGTCTGACATTCATGTAGCTTGTGTTTTCTTGATAACAAGTCCTTCATAAACTTGGCATAATTGGGCATATTAGCCAAAGCTTCAGCAAAAGGTATATTTACATGCAACTTCTTGAAGATATCAAGAAATCTTGCATATTGCTGCTTCTGAGAATCTTCTTGAATCTTTCTGGATAAGGTGCCATGGCTCTCACATATTCAGGATTCAACTCAAATTTCTTCTTTTCAGCAACAATAGGTGGCTCTTCTTCTTCACCTTTCTGAACAGGTTTCTCAACATCAGAAGGAATTACCACTTCTTTTTCTGGCTCCTTAACCTCCTTAATCTTCTCATCAGCTTCCATATTTGTGTTTGGCTTTTCTGGAGCTGCTACCACTTTACCACTTCTAGTTGTGATAGCTATACAATCCTCCTTGAGATTAGTAACTGTATTGCTAGGGAAGGTACCTGGAGTTTTCTCAGCAAATTGTTTAGCCAGTTGGCCAATTTGATTCTCCAAATTTCTGATAGAAGCATTTGTGTTCTTCGTATTTGCTCTGGTTTCCTCCATGAAAGCACTAGAGTGTTGAGTCATTTGTCCAACTAACCTCTCCAAATCAGAAGGTTCCTTGGTTTGGATTGGTGGAGGCTGCAGATAGTTGTTTGATGTGAAATCAAGACCAGTGCCTTGAATCCTCCGTTGATAATTACTACCTCAAGCAGAAAAATTCTGACCTCGTTGAACATTTTGCGGCCGAGGTCTCTGATCATACCAAATGCCATTCACATGCACCCGTCGAGGAGGATCATAAGTCAGCAAAGAAGGACATTCATTAGACTCATGATTGTCCTTACAATATTCACATACCACCGTAACAGCTTTAGTCTGAACACTAGAAAGTTGCATCTTGTCAAGCCTTGAAGTCAAGTTTGCTATTTGCTGAGATAATAATTTGTTTTCAGCTAGCACCACATCATTACCTTCTAGCTGAAGGATACCTCTCTTAGGCTTGGATGACAAACCTTCATTCTCATTTGCAGCCATTCTTTCAATCAGCTCAAAAGTCTCATTTTCTCTCAAGGATTTAATACTGCCACCTGCTGCACCACTCAACACCATCCGCACTTCAGGCTTACAACCATTGAAGAAAATTCTCACTTGATTACCAGCTGTCAAGTTATAATGAGGGCACCTCCTCATTAAATCCTTGAATCGGTTCCATGCTGCACACATAGTTTTGACTTTGTGTTTATGAGAAATAAAACAGAAATTGATTTTGTGAAATATGAAAAAACATTGCAGCTAAGGTACACGCACCATATGATCCCCACTTTAAACTTTGGATTGATTGACAACGTTCATTCAATTTAATAACTCAGACAAATTATCATCTAAAATAACTAGTTAAATCTTAATCCCTTGGCAATTTAACCCTTTAATTCAATTGGAATCCTAATCCCTTAGCAACCCTGCATGAAATTAAGCATTAATTATGATAAATCAAACGACTGCAACTCACACAAGTCTATCCCTAGAGCATGCATAAATTGTTATCTTACCCCATTTCAGAATTAAAAACCCTAATATTCCTATTGCGAGCCCTAATTCTCAAATTATTATCTCCTATTAGGTTGATCAAGTCTAACAGAAATAATATCAATACGCACAGGGTAAAAATAAAATATATTAAAATAAACGAGCGAAAATAATCAATCCAGCGTAAAAAGTGTTCACATAGGGTTTGTGACCCTAACTACAATAAAAAGAAACTAGCCAACCATGGTCATGGCTGACATAAAATTATATAAGATAAAGATAAATAGTGTAATTATAAGAAGAAGACTAAGAACAATCCTCAGTTCCTCTCCTCCTTCTGCAATCCTTGTTTTTCTTTCTTTCTGCCGTCGAAAAGTATCCTCTTTCTGTCAACAAAGGTTTTTTTTTTATCCCCATCTCGTCTTTCCGAATCTGCCCTTAATGAACACGATATTTTTTTCTCGCAAAACGGCACAAGTTGGCGCCACTTTGCGCCAAGTTTCTGGATGCTTGCAAAACATGGACCTGAGTAACTCAGAAAACAGCGCGAGTTGGCGCCATTGTGGCGCCACTCTGCGCCAATTTTGTGACTTTTATAAAATACGTCTTTCAAACCTCGCAAACCGGCGCGGGTTGGCGCCGGTGTGGCGCCAACTTGCGCCAAGTCTCTGTCCATTGTACTGTGCTTTCCAATCCGGTGCTGGTTTGCGCCAATATAGCGCCAGTCTGCGCCAACTTGCTGGAATTTGTACTGAGGATCACCCGTGTGGAATTGCATCAAGTAGCTTTTTACAATTTTGTAGTTTTCACTTCTTCTACCTATATAAACACAACAAAAAGGTGAGAAGTATCATTGACATAGAAAAGTCAATATAGTAAGCAAATATGTATATAAATTGTTCTTTTATGACTTAATTCTTATCAATTTCAGCTTAGAAAACTACATCTGCCAGAGGCACATCAGCGCGCTATAGCAGAGTTGCGTTGCGGTGCAGCTGCTAGCCGCCACAGACCGCGCCACGACTTTCAATTGAGGTGTAGTGGATGTAGCGGCCGCTATTGCGGCTGAATCGCGGTACTATTGCGCCCCTACAGTAATTTCTGCATAAGTGTTCTCGTCGTAGAAAGAAAAGATTTACAACTTAGATATAAGTGAAAGTGAAGATGAAGATTTGGATGTTCATGATTTCAATTATGATTAGTTCCTTAAGTTCTTTGATTTTGACATTTCACTTAAATGACAGTTTGAATTTTGACTAATTTTGCCACTTTATTTTGTTGTGTTACATTATTTGAGACTTTAATTCCTTCAATTTGCTTATGATTTGAATTTTAATGTTTGAAATCATATATGTTTGAGTTTGAGATCCTTCAAATTTGTTTTTTATGTCACATTTTCATATTTTAAGGTTTATATTTGTGGAGTACAATTTAGTGTATCACTTAGGTACACTTTGCACAGTAGCATTGTATCGCTACCCGCTATAGCGCTATAGCAGTTTGAAGGGTCAGCTGCTACGTGCCGCTATCCGAGATTAATAAGTATGATTACACCACATTCCCAACAATAATTGACAATTGACTTACCAAACAGTTTTTTGGTAACATTCTTGAAAAACTCACTTTCCAACATATTTTTGGGAATCATGATTCCTAGGAACAAAAATATTTCTCCTTTACCAAACGCAATCTAAGCTTTTGAGTTGAATTAATTATTTATATGGTATCATAGTCTATGTGACTACGTGTGAAGTACTTATCATTAACCACATTAATCTCATAGCCGGCTCAAAGAATTGAAGTTTGTAGGGATACACAGGGGATCAACTCACCTCAAAGAGGTAATTAGGGTCAGTATACAAAATAATAATAATAATAATAACCCCACAAGCCACTAGAATTGGTCTAGTGGCGAGAGATTTGGGTATGTTGTATTAGATTATGGGTTCAATTTCTACTTGTATAAAAATAATAATAATAACTGCACTAGACTTAAGATATATGCCTTTTAAATCATTTTCCTAGACACCAACGCTATAAATTAATTTTATCTTTAATTCCACCTGGCAATAGATCAACACATACAAAAAAAAAATCAATAATAGTAATACACAAGATTTTATGTGAAAAACCCAACTAAGAAAAATTACGAGTTCTCAGAAATTCACTAAAAATATCTAGAGTATTGCAAAAGTTATCTTTGTAAGAAAATAATTTTACTATTGTTTTCTCTAACTCTCTCTCACACTAATAATGCTCTAATTTTAGCTTTATCTCTAAATTTTCTCTGAAATTTTCTTCTAGCATGAAGCTAATAGCAACCACAGTACATGTTTTGTCATATGAAAAACAAATAGCCTACCATGGAAATTAAGTCGACAATTTCAATACCTTTCAAGTTGTGTGAACAGACGTACTATAGAAATATAATATAAATTATAAAATCATTAATATATCTTCAACTAATAATTTAATCTTTTAAGTTGAATTAATTCATATAAAGGAGCTCTTATGGTATTTGTCTACTCTCCATCTTAGTAGTTACCATGAAGATGGACTTAGAAGACCAAATAAAGGGTTTTCTATGTGCCTATAATAATTGCAGTTGCACACAACAAAAACCTAACACATGCACAGATGCGATCAATTGATTATAAAGTTGTGCGTGTGAGTACTTTCGGATAATGAAAAAAGATAATTTTCTTCTATTGTTGATGGTAAAACAAGTTCCCCCGAGCAATAATAATAATAATAATTTTAGTTGTCTTACTAACACCCAAAAAACAAAAAAAGTGGTCTCTAAATCTTTATTCCATTTATGGTTAAAAGAGTGACTATGACCGTTTATAAATTAAATTTACCCATTTAAACCTTTTTCATGAAACTTACAAATTGTATAAATATAATTAATTAAAGGTATAACTCCTATTGGATTGCTGCTTCCACCCTGAACATTTTCCTAATCACTTCTAAGTTCTAAACCTTTACGCTTTGCAACTCAACCATGAAATGTACCCTTCTTTGTCTTCTCTGCAAGTGATAGCAACTCCTTTTCTCTATTAAATTAATAAAGCATCTTTTTCTCTCAATGCACTTCATTTCTTCATTCAGAATTCTCTTACAAACTGAACCCACAAAAAGATAAATGAAATTAAAAGAAAAAAGTACTTTCATAAAATAGAAAAGGTTATCCTTCTTCCTTAAGAAATCTTACACATTCTTTACATATATAATAACTCTTAAATGAGAGATAATCTGAACCAACCCTCAGCTATAAACCTCTTCAATTTTCCTCAGAATTGTTGAACTCCCACATCGAATTTATTCAACAAAATTATCAACAATGGTTTTAGTTTTGGAAAAATTCCAAACTGATTCTCACTCCAAGAACACAGCACTCTGGTTTGTTCAAAATTCTCATCTCCTTTCTCTCTGTTGTTCTTGTTAGTTTCAACTTATATGCTTTCTGTATTCCACTAGAAGTGAACTATGATTTGATTACTTCACACATAAATTGCTCATCTTTATGTTTTCTTTTTGTATATGAAATATAATTGGAGTATGTGAAAAAAAAACACGTGTCTGTCATTGATATAAAACATATGTAATACTAAATATTTGGTATAGGTAGAAGGGGAGGGATATATTGACAAACTTTTTTTTTTACAAACTTACGAACTACACTAAGTCCAACGAGTCATACACTCTTGATTGAAGTATGACTGGTCAGATATAGTGTAGTTTGTAAACAAAAAGTTTGTAAATATAACCTTCCCCTATATAAAATATGTTATTTTGTATAGTTCATTCCGTAAGAAGGTGAGATTACAACATATAAAAAACAGCATAATGTAAGAGAAAAAATTAATAATTATGATTATCATTAATTACAAAATAGCCAACTGTATACTATATATAAGAATTTGTCACAAACCACAGACACTTAAATCAATTGCTACGGGGTTGTTTCAATGAGTTCAAGTCATGGGTATACAACTTTGTTAAAAAATTTGGTATCGAGAGCTTTGTTGTCCTTATAGTCATGCCCGACTTGACTAGATTAATTGAGTAATTGATAAATTGACAGAGAAATCTAAAAAAAAAATAAAAAAATCTCACAATTAATTTGTTTCTCAATAGTTGTTTTTGTGCCACTTACTCTTGTTATCGTTGTTATCATCAGGACTATTAAATTGCATAACCTGCAGAGTCAGGGAGGAGGCGAATTATTGAAGGTGAATAGAGAGAAAATTGATAGTGTTAATGCAATGGAAAGAAAACACAAACAAGCAGTGAAACTATTGAAGATATTGCTAAAGAAGAAGATTGGTAATGAAAATATAAAGGAAGGGAAACCAAATACAGAGTCCAAGAGGATTTGCATTTGTGCTCCAGCCACACATGAAGGGTCATTTAAGTGTCGTTTCCACCGCATTGGCACTGTAAAGAAGCCATAAGAAGATGGTTTGGATCATTTCATGTTGATGAATTATAGGATATGATCATGTTGGAACAAAAGACACCACTTTTTTGAAAATATATAATGGATCCCATAACCAATTATGCTAAGCCCATGCATAATAAAATTTGTTTCTTTTTCTCTCTTTTAACTCTTGTTATTCAAAAATAGGAAACTGATGCAAATCAATATGTATTTTCACATTAGACCTTTCCTTGAAACCCCTGCGTTTGTTAAAGGGGCTTTCAAATATGCACCAGGCCTCTTTTTCATCTCTTTTCCCTTGTGGGTTAATGAAGAATTTTCTTATTTATTAAACTATAATATAAATAGGTTAGAGATAAAATAAAATTTATTTACGTGCCTTCACTCAATAAATTTATATTATATATAACGGAGCTTTGTCATTTGCTTCCATTACTTCATAGATCAAGGCTTATTAATTTATTTATTTTTTCTAGCCTACCATGTGTTTAGTTACTCGCTTTTATGTTATGTCAAAAATTAACTATCTCAAAAGCTCAAACTATTAGGTAAAAACACGTAATTTTTTTTTTTTTTAAGATAATAACTACTTTTATATTATATAAAACTGAATTTGTCAAAGAATAAATGTAGGGATCTATTTCCTATAAAAGTAAAGTATGTTGATCTGACGGAGATAAGAGAGACAATGATATGGACCACAACTCTGGAGAGTCACCATATTGGCTTTAGACTGGATAAGGATAAAAAGGGGAGGTGTTTTGGGCTACATTATGGCATGAGGAGTGATTTTTACAAAATAACAATACTAGCAAGTAATAGAGAATGGAAAAAACATTTGTCATTTTAAATAATATAACTTTGTGACATTTTAGATGAAACAACATTGTTTTGGTGTATATTTTGTGATTTTTTACATTTTCTCTCTTTCGTAAAATTAGGAAGAGCGAGAAAATAGATGAGAGAGAATGTAAAAAATCATATAAATCTCACCAAAACAACGTCATTTCATCTAAAATGACACAAAGTTATGTCATTTAAAATGACAAATATTTTCCTATAGAGAATATGGGGAAATGGGAAGACGGAGGTCCCTTTGTATAGGGTGTTGGAGATTCTCTACAAGTACACAAAGTGTATTGTCATAATTGTTTTCAACCATATGAGCCCTAATAGGGTGAAAGACTGTGTAACCCCCTGATGTGTTAAAAATAATATGTGCATGAAGAGCGTGAGGGGGGTATGTGTACAAGGGAGTCATGTGCTCTATGTGTTAAGTGGTGGTAGCTTTGCCAAGAAGCCATATGAACTGGCTGGGCAAGGCCATTCAGCCAGTCCAAAACACCAACCATGGTGAGAAACAACCGTTGTTATTGTTTTGCAACTGTTTTACTGAATTATGAACTTTCTTCATTTGTGGCCATCTTCAAACTTTAGATCACTAACAATAATACAACAGAAAATAAAAGGCTCAGATGGTTAATATGAGAATGAAATATGGAAATAATTGTCTACAAATATCTTCTAGTTTGACATAAGAGCCAAGAAGCTTTGCATTCTACACAAAAAATATATCCATGTCTTTAGATATTGCTTGATAATTAAGCTACCTTCTACCCTTTACATTAGTTATAAAAAAAATGAATCTCATCTGGGTTGGTTTCGTGCAAGGCCTTCGCAGCAGGAAGGGGCGGTTGTCATTTGAATGGAAGGTCATTTGTATAGGGTTCCAAATTTGCGCACCCTGATTCCAAATTTCTATTTTCTTAGTCAAGCCTAAACTTATTGAAAATTAAGGCGCTAATGCTATAATAATTTTTATATATTAATGGAGAAAAGTAGACATTTGTGGCTTCAAAATGATATAAAATATGCCCCAATCCAAGGTTTGTAGCCCCAGATACCGAATTTACAAAATGGTGGACAAAATTGAATGCAATCAGGATTTTCAAAATTTTCATGTAGACTTAGTTCAACCGCTTTGGTTATTGACAAAAAATTTGCAAACTCTTGAAAATTGACATGTGATCATTTCATGAGGACTCTAATTTCATTTCATTTCAATTTTAAAATTTAGTTTACAACCATTCAACATACCAATTGGCTTAAATTGCTCAAACAACCACTTCAACATATCAAGTAGCAGTGTTCATAAGTGCACTCTTACATGATTCTACGTTCTTAACATGTCTACAACTTAATTTACCCATAACATATATCCCCAAACAGAAAATACAGAATCTTAACATAATAGTTCTCTAATTACAAGTTTACAAGGTTCTACTACAAAACCAAGTCATAGCTCCAGTCCACATAAATCGGTCACCACTAAATGGCCTAACATACACCATATTAAATCAAGGCTATAACAACATGTTGACTACCTTTGTCTCATGATTTCTTACTTTTATAAGTACCTGCAAATATAATTTACAACCTCAAAAGGGGCGAGAAAAATCCCAACAATCAATGGTACTCAATCCATTCATATCATGCATATAGGAATATGCCATATAACAAGGTAATTTCATGCTTTCCATTGTGTATATAACACCATTACCATAAATATACATATGAGTACTTTTCATAACCTTCCCCGAAGAGAATTTTCATGGCACTCATAGGAATCTCTTTAGGTGCCTATGCTAGCCGCGCCTAGGTTCTTGCTCGGTACCGGGTGTTATATGATGTATGCTAAAATAATCATGTACCATACTATATGGTTGAACCATATGTCATTGACTGTATGATGAAATGATGCATAAAAGTGCAGCACATTCAACAAGCAATCTAGTGAAATGCATATGAAATGAATGATGCAACATTATCCTTTCATTCTCTATATGGATGAATCATACACCATTGGATAAACTAGAATTTGTGCATTTAACATTTTCAATTCAGCCATCACATTAAATAAAAACACACAAGTATATCACACATCACTATGGCACAATCATGAGGTTCAAGAAACCTTTACTTACCTTGTCTTCCAAGCTGCCCAAGTAGTAATTTCACTTCTTCTTGTTTTCCTTCTTCTCCAAGTTGGCTGAACCTAACATGGATCGAGTTGGTTAATTTATTGATTCAAGCTACTTGGAATTCCTAATGTCTAATTCTAGTTTGTCAAAATTTAATAAAATTCTCTCCCAATGTGGCAGGTTCAATGAGTTTTGTCGAAGTTTTGATGAACTAAGGAGTATTGGTTAACACCCAAAATAGAGCCAATATTCATGGCTTAGCAGTCAACTTCAGAATTTTATAATTTATTCTAGAGACCTCCATTTTGGGTGATTCCAAAGATTCTTAAAAGCTTTTTCTTTCTAGTTTTAGCTTACAAATTTTTAGGGCAAACGAAACATGGTATTTTGGGCTATGGTTATAGTGTGAGGAGTGATTTTTGCAAAATAACAATACTAGCAAGTAATAGAGAATATGGGAAATAGGGAGATGAAGGTGCCTTTGTATAGGGTGTTGGAGATTCTCTCCAATTACACAAAGTGTGATGTCATAATTGTTTTCAACCCTACGAGCCCTAATAGGGTGAAAGACTGTGTGAACCCTGATGTGTAAAAAATAATATATGCATGAGGAGATACATGTACAAGGGAGTCATATGCTCCAAGTGTTAAGTGATGATAGCTTTGCCAAGCAGCCATATGAGCTGGCAGAGCAACGCCATTCAGCCAGTCCAGAACACAAAACATGGTGAGAAAAAATTGTTATTATTTTTTTGCTACTGTTTTACTGAATTATCAACTTTCCTCGTTTGCGGCTATCTTCGGACTTTAGATCACTGACAATAATACAACAGAAAATAGAAGGTTCATATGGTTAATATGAGAATGAAATATAAATGATTGTGTAACATCCCCATCTCTAGCCGGTTCAATTAACATGCATATGATATAAACAGAAACAACGAAAGACTTAACTTATGAAAATACGAGCTAACTTTTTCTTTTTCTAGTTATAATTCCCATTCGATAGAGAAGAAAATCAGACAGAGTAACCTCTGTAAATCGGACAACTGAGAATTTTCCAATCCCACTCTCACGAGTTCCCGAAAGTCAGTTTATACAGCATATACTTCCAGAAGTACCAGACATCCATATAAAATCATATACCCATCCATGGGCGTATACATAACTTGGCTCCGTGCCACTATATCTATCAGCATGCAATCCATCAAGTAAACATAATTGAATACTACATCGCCATATCAACATGCCTGAATACCCAAATGTACATGCATCAAACTGACAGACATGTACAAAACATATACAGGCCATATACAAAATAAAGGATCAAACATCATGATCCACAAAATATTGAAATGCTAAATAACATCACTATAATCCAAAATAGCAGTAGCCTACAGCTACTCAAAATCTAGTCCGTCGAAACGCCTCAACCACGGGTCACGTCCCTGCCTAGGCTCACCGGGGATCTGAGAACCTGAAATGACGTCCCCAAAGAGGGGTGAGATAACAAATCTCAATAAGCTCCAGGTTTATAGAGAATTCTCCATACCCCTGGGCTCACTCCTGCATGAAAGTCAGATACATAGTATACCAATGCAACATATAACAGATATCATAATAGAACAAAGCACATATACATATCTTATCAGAGGCGTACGCAGTCATTCTCAAGGGAGGACCCCAAGCGGAAGCAGAACATATCAGAGGCGTATACCGTCAGTCCCGAGGGAGGACCCCGAGCAGACATCAGTGTACCATATAATCATTGGCCAAAGATCAATACATAAACCAAATCAAAAAAAATCATATCATGTTATCAAATAGCTCTATATGAATGCATCTATACAAAGCATCAAAATAGTCATACAATTCAACCATAGTTCACTAACCATGGTGGAGCACTCAAGCAGGAAAAGACTCCTTAAACATAGAGCTTACCTCTTGAAGCTTTTCTAATTCGCTTACTTGTCGCACAAGTTACTTATATAGCTCCAATGGAATTTCAACCCTCTCAGTCCCTAGGAACACCTAGAGAAGGAATCACGACAAAAATCAATAAAATGTTACAATGCCATGAAATTTACACAAAGCATACATCTTATTGCTCACTTTCGTTCCCTCACATTATGCCAATCCTATGCCAATTTACAAGTCAAGACCATGCCTTTACAAATTTCCTTTCATTTACCATTTCATAATCATTAACGTTCC